ACACATGTTGCGTTATATGTAGCCAGGGGAGTCGGGGGGACGATGCGCATTTGTTTTGCCGAGGAATTTATGAGAGCGAGAGTCATGTTGCATATTGTCTGCCTTGCATTACCAATGGTCACTCCGATGGTTTATTAATAGCCACGGAACTTGTTTTTTTTTATATAAAGTCTCGAGATTTATATACCTTGTAGTGTTGAAGGAGTGTTCGGGCGGTCTATAAAGAGCGCCTTAAACATGCATAAATCAACATAATATTTACAATTATCATACATCAGGAGGGGTATAGGGGGTTGGGTGAATCACGGCGTCTATAGTGTATGTGGCTCAAGGGACCCTCCACACCGCCCTAACAAAAGATAAACGCCGAAACCCTCATTGTTTTGAAGGGCGCTGGCCAGAAATAATGTTTATAGATGAGCTCCGTAACAAAACAAAAATACATCGTAAAGAATATTGAGACAAGAGATGGAGGCGAGGAGACATGCGTATGGTTAAGTTCTTAACAAAGTTATGAAGGAAGAGACAAAGGCAAGGTTTTGACCCCGTATTAACCATTAGGAGAGCAAGATGATAGGGTTTAAGGGGATAACTTTAACCTTTGGGACCTTGAGTCGTGCCGTGGACTGTCTCTGTAGCCACATTGTAGGGATAAATATAAGGTGGCTGGAGCTAGTATTAGGGGTTCAACACCTTATCCTGGCCTGTGACACCTAATTCCTTATAATTTTGCGCATATTTGTTGTATATGCCTTGAAGTCATGTTGTCTAGTGTGTACGGAGTCAGATTATTATTTACAGTTTTCCGAGTCAAATTTTCTTGAACATACATACATACATACATACATACATACATACAGTGTTTGTATATTATTATTATTATTATTATTATTATTATTATTATTATTATTATTATTATCAGATCCACAACACCGTCTAACTCCAAGGTTCAAATATCTTCACTACAGTAGACAGTAACTCATCGTCACTCCTCCGTCTTACAACACACCGTACACCCACCACTTAACACCGTACACCCACCACCACCACCACTTAACACCGTACACCCACCATACACCATCACCCACCACCACCACTTAACACCATTACACACCACCACCACTTAACACCGTACCCACCATAACACCGTACCCAACACCACCACCACCACTTAACACAATACACCACCACCACCACTTAACACCGTACACCCACCACCATAACACCGTACCACCACCATAACACCGTACACCACACCACCACCACCACTTAACACCGTACACCACCACCACCACCACTTAACACCGTACCCAACACCACCACCATAACTGTACCCACCACCACCACCACCATAACACCGTACACCACCACCACCACCACCACATAACACCGTACACACACCACCACCACCATAACACCGTACACCCAACACCACCACCACTTAACACCGTACACCCAACACCACCACCATAACACCGTACCCACCACCACCATAACACCGTACACCCACCACCACCACTTAACACCGTACACCCACCACCACCACTTAACACCGTACACCACCACACCACTTAACACCGTACACACCCACCACCACCACTTAACACCGTACCACCACCACCATAACACCGTACACCCACCACCACCACCACTTAACACCTGCACCACCACCACTAACACGTACACCCACCACCACCACTTAACACCGTACACCCACCACCACCACCACTTAACACCATGCACACCACCACCACCACTTAACACCGTACACCACCACCACCACTTAACACCGTACCCACCACCACCACCACTTAACACCTTACACCCACCACCACCACCTAACACCGTACACCCACCACCATAACACCGTACACCCCCACCACCAACATAACTGTACCACCCACCACCATAACACCGTACACCCACCACCACCACCACTTAACACCGTACACCCACCACCACCACTTACCGTACACCCCACCACCACCACCCACTTAACACCGTACACCCACCACCACCACTTAACACCGTACACACCCACCACCACCATAACACCGTATACCCACCACCATAACATCCCCACCACCACCATAACACCGTACACCACCACCACTTAACACCGTACACCACCACCACCACCACTTAACACCGTACACCCACCACCACCACCACCACTTAACACCGTACACCCACCACCACCACCACTTAACACCGTCACCCCACCACCACCACCACTTAACACTGCACCCACCACCACCACTTAACACCGTACACCCACACCACCACTTAACACCGTACCCACCACCACCACTTAACCGTACACCCCACCACCCTTAACACCGTACACCACCACCACCACTTAACACCGTACACCACCACCACTTAACACCTACACCCCACCACCACCACTTAACACCGTACACCCACCACCACCACTTAACACCATGCACCCACCACCACCACTTAACACCGTACCACCCTCACATGTTCACTGGCTAATACCTGAGTGATGGTCCGTCGTCAGGTAGTTGGTCAGGGTGTGGGTCAGGTGAAGGTAAGGTGAGAGTGGTCGACCATCTACCACTGGTCAGGGTGTTGTGGTGATCAGGGGTGTTGTGGGGATCAAGGTGTTGTGGTAGTCAGGGTGTTGTGGTAGTCAGAGTGTTGTGGTGGTCAGGGATGTTGTGATGGTCAGGGTGTTGTGGTGGTCAGGGTGTTGTGGTGGTCAGGGGTGTTGTGGGGATCAGGGTGTTGTGGTAGTCAGGGTGTTGTGGGGATCAGGGTGTTGTGGTGGTCAGAATGCAGTAATTGGGTCAGGTGTTGGGATCAGGGTGTTGTGGTAGTCAGGAGTGTTGTGGTAGTCAGGGGTGTTGTGGTGGTCAAGTAGTTGTGGGGATCAGGGTGTTGTGGTAGTCAGAGTGTTGTGGTGGTCAAGTGTTGTGGAATCAGGGTGTTGTGGTGGTCAGAGTGTTGTGGTGGTCAGGGTGTTGTGGTAGTCAGGTGTTGTGGTGGTCAGAGATGTTGTGGGGATCAGGGTGTTGTGGTAGTCAGGGTGTTGTGGTGGTCAGGTATTGTGGGATCAGGAGTGTTGTGGTGGTCAGGGTGTTGTGAGTAGTCAGGGTGTTGTGGTGGTCAGGGTGTTGTGGGATCAGGGGTGTTGTGGTGGTCAGGTGTTGTGGGGATCAGGGGTGTTGTGGTGGTCAGGGTGTTGTGGTGGTCAGGTGTTGTGGTGGTCAGGGTGTTGTGGGGATCAGGGTGTTGTGGTAGTGAGGGTGTTGTGGGGATCAGGGTGTTGTGGTGGTCAGGGTGTTGTGGGGATCAGGGTGTTGTGGTGGTCAGGGTGTTGTGGTGGTCAGGGTGTTGTGGTTGTCGGGTGTTGTTGTGGTCAGGGTGTTGTGGGGATCAGGGTGTTGGTGGTCAGGGTGTGGTGGTCAGGGTGTTGTGGTTGTCAGAGTGTTGTGGTTGTCAGGGTGTTGTGGTGGTCAGGGTGTTGTGGTGGTCAGGGGTGTTGTGGTGGTCAGGGTGTTGTGGTGGTCAGAGGTGTTGTGGTGGTCAGGGTGTTGTGGTAGTCAGGGTGTTGTGGTAGTCAGGGTGTTGTGGTAGTCAGGGTGTTGTGGTAGTCAGGTGTTGTGGTGGTCAGGGTGTTGTGGTGGTCAGGGTGTTGTGGGGAGGGGGATAGGAGGTGTCTGCTATTGGTGTTTAATGTTAATTGATGCGTCATTGTCAGGGTCTGCTAGGTGTGTGTGTGTGTGTGTGTGTGTGACCTGGCACTATTAACGGGCTGGTCGTCAATGTCAATGTGGGTATTATTTTGTCTCTTCAATAACGAGAGTGTAGGTAAAGGCACAGGTACAGGTAGAGATACAGGTACAGGTAGAGGTACAGTTACAGGCAGAGGTGCAGGTACAGGTAGAGGTACAGGTACAAGTAGAGGTACAGGTGGAGGTGCAGGTACAGAGTGAGGTACAGGTACAGGTGGGGTACAAGTAGAGATATAGGTACAGTTACAGGTACAGGTACTGTTACAGGTAGAGTTACAGGTAGAGGTACAAGTAGAGATACAGGTACAGGTAGAGATACAGGTACAGGTAGAGTTACAGGTAGAGGTACAGGTGAGGTACAAGTAGAGATACAGGTACAGGTAGAGTTACAGGTACAGGTGACTGTTACAGGTGAGGTACAGGTAGAGGTACAGGTGAGGTACAAGTAGAGATACAGTGCAGGTCAGGTTACCAGGTACTGTTACAGGTAGAGGTACAGGTAGAGGTACAAGTAGAGATACAGGTAGAGGCACAGTTACAGGTACAGGTAGAGGTACAGGAAGGAGGTCAGGGAGGGAGACCAGGGAGAGATGGAAGGAGGGCTGCTAGAGAGGAAGGAAGGATGGCCAGGGAGGGAGGGAGGACAGGGTATCATTTGGACATGAACCACCCCCATTTGTGGCCCATGAGATGGTACCTGAAGGATTAGGAAAACACACACACACACACCTCTCTCTCTCTCTCTCTCTCTCTCTCTCTCTCTCTCTCTCTCTCTCTCTCTCTCTCTCTCTCTCTCTCCTCTTTCATTAAATCTTCGTTGTATTTCCATGGTTAGTGTTTAAGCGCTGACTAATTCAGTTATTCATGTAATTGTTATATAAAATATATGGTGTTTGTTGTTATGTTTTTGTTTATAAAGAGTAAACGAAATATATTTGTTTTCTTTGTTAGTTCTGAGTGTTTTTATTGATGGTGGCGGTGTGGTGGTGGCGGTGTGGTAGTGGTGGTGGCGGTGTGGTAGTGGTGGTGGTGGCGGTGTGGTGGTGGTGGTGGCGGTGTGTGGTGGTGGTGGCGGTAGTGGTAGTGGTGTGGTAGTGGTGGTGGTGGCGGTGTGGTGGTGTCTTTATATCCATCTGTTGTTATTAGTTGTGGTTGTTTGTTTAATAATAATGTTCATTTATTATTATTTAAGTTGTGGTTGTTGTTTGTGTACTAACGGTGATGACTCTTCCTGTACAGTGCTGGGAGGGCTGTGAGCTGCTGACCACGAACTACCCTATATGGAGCATCACTTGTGGCCAGCTAGACAAATGTGTGAGTATCTTACTGTGAGAGAGGTCAGTAGACTTGAGTGGGTGCCAGATACAGTACTGGCACTCTCGATGAAACTTGAAGGGGCACTGTTGTGTTGTTAGTGATCGCTATATTCGCGGTCACTTCTGATAGTATGTAGCCGGTTACTGATGAAAATGGCCAAATATTGTAGATACTCATTATAACCGTCTTACAGTGAACAAAGTCAGTGCAGGTGTACAAAATATTGCATAGACATTGCAGGGCAGGTGTATAAACCATGTAATAGGCTATTTTCGTTAGGTTAGGTTAGGTTAAGTACCACTGGGATAAATTAAGATTAGATCAAGTTACTGTTGGTTAGGTTAGGTTAAGTACCACTGGGATAAATTAAGATTAGATCAAGTTACTGTAGGTTAGGTTAGGTTAAGTACCACTGGGATAAATTAAGATTAGATCAAGTTACTGTTGGTTAGGTTACTTTGTTTAAGTTAGGTTAGGTTATAATTGTTTAAGATAAATGGTGTTGTAGTGTACTCAGGTGTTGTGAACTAACGTGTTGTGCTTTTCTGTGTTGCAGGAGGAAGGTTGTGAGGCAGCGTGCGCCTTCCACTCCTCACACCCCAAGTCTGTGGTGCCCCTCAGTCAACACAACTCTCGCCTCACACTCGTCTTCAGTGGCTCAGCGGCTCAGTGGACGCTCTCTTGGGGCCGAGACGCCCCCAGGGAACATGTGGTCTTCGCCCTCTTCACCCGCACTCCCGGCAAGTCTTGGGACCTCAGACTCCAGACAGCAGACTTTGGCGCCGCTCTTGACGACGTGCCGACGGGGTCCGACATGAAGCTGGTGGCCGTAGCGGAGTCCGGCGTACTCTCCGTCATCATCACGCCCTACGCCCCTCCCGCCCACCCTAAGAGCATCATGAAGCCCGCCCTTGGCTTATCTCGTTCTCAGGTCTCTGCTGAACGCCCCGAGACCAACGGCATCGAGGTAGACGCAGTCGAGATGTGGCCTCTACTGCACGAGACCGAGGTCGAGGAGTCAGGTCTCGTGGCCGCAAGAGTGTGGTGGGCGCCTCAAAGTCCCCGCGGCGGTGACTACTTGGTGACCTGGGAGGTTGAGGGCGGGGGGCTCAAGGGTCACCTGTATACTGACCTCCCTGAGGTTGACCTTACCCTATGGCCTGAGACTGTTTACCACGTGCAGGTAGAGCTGGTCACCGGCCCACTGGGGGATTCACTCCGCTCAGCACAACTCACCCTCGATACCCATAACATCACTCTCGCCGCCCACGCTCGCCAGAACGACATCACGCCCACGCTGCCCCTCGTTCACAAGGCAGTGACGCCTGTGCAGCTTGAGGTAGTGCTGGGAGTGGGCGCTGGAATCCTAGCGGCTCTCCTGGTGGTGGCGGCGCTGGTGTGGAGACGCAGACAATCATCTGGACTGACTTACGACACCACCACTGCCTCCTCCGCCAAGTGGGGCACCTGGAACCGCACTCTGTCGGACCTCACACTAGACGAGTCCTTGGTCGTCAAGAACCACAAACTGCCCCAAGATTCCACCAACCCCGCCTTCCCCACGCCTGCACGCCCACCACACGCCCCCGTCTACACCCTGGCACCACCCCCACACCATCCCTCCTCTTCCCTGTTGAGCCTGGTGCGCCCTGTCCACACCCACGTCAATCTATACAGTGTTGTGCCTCCCGCCCCGGACACCCGTTCTCAGGTCTCCAACATCTAGGTAATTACAGGACCTCAGGACCCAGCCATGCTGCACCTGACAACACACCTGCCCTGAGTGAACTTTATTAAGTGCCAAGGCTTACAATGCTACAGTTTTGCTCTATGTAAAGTGCCAAGCTACAGCACGACCCTGCGTGTCATAGTGATCTCTTAGTAAGTGCCAAGATAACTGTACTGAAGCCACATGTGCCAAGATAACTGTACTGAAGCCACATGTGCCAAGATAACTGTACTGAAGCCACATGTGCCAAGTGTTGTAATAAATGTGTTGTTATGTGAAGGTACAGCTGCTGGGTTGATCCACTAACACACCTGAGTGGTGCAGTCAACCCCTGGCGAGGAGTCCTCATCACACTGCTGCTGTTCTTCCCTCAGGAGCTCCAGATGGAAGGTCTCGAAGGACACAATTACCTGCCGTCGAAGGAGGGAAGAACTCCACTTTCTATCCTTCGACTTCAGACGGTGACCAAGAGGACCTTCTCCTGCCTCCCTCCCCCTACACTTTCCCTCCATCAGGAACTCAGGAGTGAGAACTTATTTTCAGCTTGTGTAGGGGTGTGGTGGGTGGTGTAGTAGGTATGGTGTGGTGGGTGGTGCTGTGGGTGTGGTGTTGTGTGGGTGTGGTGCGGTGGGTGTGGTGCGGTGGTGTGTTGAGCCAAACTGGTGTACATAACTTACACACAACATTCCCAAGGTGTTCTCAGTGGGAACTTGTTTTAGTCAATGCGGTGTTTTGTATCTGGAAGCCAAAGTTCCTATATTATCAGTAAAGACGACCACGACCACAACACAAGTGGTTTCTACACGACACAAGTGTTCATTTACTCAATAAAAAAATATCTTTTCTTATGACTGAGCATTTAACACGAGTGAAAAGTGTGTCCAGGGCATTTATTGGGCATTATCGCTCACACATTACGTCACTGAGCGTATTCATGTTCAGTATTTGGTCGTGGTCGTCGTCACTGTTGTGCTTGATCGACGAAGAATCTTCATATTTTATACTATTATTATTACCCATTCATTCTGTATACATGAAGCCAAAGATGTCAATGTGTATTTCAGACAGAGAAAGTTTAGTGTGAGACAGAGACAGTTTATGTGAGAAACATGCACAGTGTGTGAGACAGAGACAGTTTATGTGAGAAACATGCACAGTGTGTGTGAGACAGAGACAGTTTATGTGAGAAACATGCACAGTGTGTGTGAGACAGAGACAGTTTATGTGAGAAACATGCACACTGTGTGAGACAGAGACAGTTTATGTGAGAAACATGCACAGTGTGTGTGAGACAGAGACAGTTTATGTGAGAAACATGCACAGTGTGTGAGACAGAGACAGTTTATGTGAGAAACATGCACACTGTGTGAGACAAAGACAGTTTATGTGAGAAACATGCACACTGTGTGTGAGACAGAGACAGTTTATGTGAGAAACATGCACAGTGTGTGAGACAGAGACAGTTTATGTGAGAAACATGCACACTGTGTGAGACAAAGACAGTTTATGTGAGAAACATGCACACTGTGTGAGACAGAGACAGTTTATGTGAGAAACAGTCACGGTGTGTGAGACAGAGAGACAGTTTATGTGAGAAACATGCACAGTGTGTGTGAGACAGAGAGACAGTTTATGTGAGAAACAGTCACAGTGTGTGAGACAGAGACAGTTTATGTGAGAAACATGCACACTGTGTGAGACAGAGACAGTTTATGTGAGAAACATGCACACTGTGTGAGACAGAGAGACAGTTTATGTGAGAAACAGTCACAGTGTGTGAGACAGAGAGACAGTTTATGTGAGAAACATTCACGGTGTGTGAGACAGAGAGATGGGATATGAGAGACATGACCGAACTTAATGACCCACCGAAGTATCTGTTGGAACACGACCAGACAGTCTCCGATATGGACAGTTACTGAAGCCAACGTTTGAACCAGTAGGTGACACAACTGAAACCAACTGTAAATATGGACGTAGGTGGGCGTGTTTGGTGTAGATGGGCGGCGTACTTGCTTAGCGGATGAGCGAGTGACGGGAGTGAGTGTTGGAGGGGGGTGACTAGAGTGTGAACCCCGAGAGTGAGACAGCGAATCAGTGTATCATTCCAAGTCTTCCATTTGTGGGAATATCCGTGACCTGACTTAAGATAAAGGTCATATAATAACGCCATTAAAAATAAGGTCAGAAAACAAGTGAAGTGCGGCCACATAGGTCAACCATCCTCTTAGTCAGGTCACGTAACGTAACCTAAGTCAGTACTGTATGACGTCATTGTTATGTACATTCAATAATAATAATAATATTATTATTATTATTATTATTATTATTATTTACTTATATTATTATTTATTTATATTATTATTATTATTTATATAATTATTATTATTATTTACTTTTATTATTATTTATTTACATTATTATTATTATTTATTTATATTATTATTTATATTATTATTATTATTATTATTTATATATTTATTATTATTATTTGCTTTTATTATTATTTATATTATTATTATTATTATTTATATAATTATTATTATTATTTATTTATATTATTATTATTATTTACTTATATTATTATTTATTTATATTATTATTATTATTATAATCATTAATATTATTATTATTATTTACTTATATTATTATTATTATTTACTTATATTATTATTTATATTATTATTATTATTATTATTATTTATTTATATTATTATTATTATTTACTTATATTATTATTTATTTATATTATTATTATTATTATTATTATTTATATAATTATTATTATTATTATTTGCTTTTATTATTATTTATATTATTATTATAATCATTATTATTATTATTATTATTATTATTATTTACTTATATTATTATTTATTTATATTATTATTATTATCATTAATATTATTATTATCACCCCTGTTGTTAGCACATCCTGTATATACTGTATTTATATCTTGTACATAAACATTTTTATACCAAATAAATCCTGTTTCATAATTCTTCTTCTTTTACTGAGTCCTGGATGGTGTTGGTAAGTTAACGTGATTAGTTATTATTAAGTTAAATATTTTGTAAGATGATTAATTATTTGTAAAGTTAATTTTTATGAAGAGTAATTCATTATTTGTGAAGCCATTTACTATAAAGGTAATTAATTACTTTTGAACTTAAATAATCATTTTAAGTCAATAACTTTTTTTAAGTTGATTAATTATATTGATGTTAATTATGAGGTTAATTGGGTAATTATGTACTGATTTATATGATTAATTAATTTATTATCCACATGATTTTTGATGATGGTGGTAACAATAATAACAAGATGATGATGGCAATAATGGTGGTAATGATAATTGTGAAAATGATGATGGTGGTAGGAAGGATGATGATGAGAATAATTAAAACACATATATTTATTTAGCCAAAACTACATTACATTGTTTATTTAATCTGTACATCGACATAATGACTGCGTCTTTAGGTAAATAAACTCTATAGGTCTTCTGTTTATACACTATTGAGTCTTGCTTACAGAAATTATGCAAAAATGAATAACTATATAAAGTTTATGCATTAACGGCACTAAGGGCCGGATTGATAGTCATTACGAAGCACAAGGCCAATTGATAGTGTTCGTGGTGGTCTATTAATAGTCATCCCGATAAACGAGGGTATCGGAAGGGAACCGTCCGCATATCCCTGAAACAACATCGGGTGGCTACCCCCACCCGATAGCTGCCTTACGACAAATAATAATCATCATTATATTTTATGAAAGTTCTTCCAGTACTTTATTACAGATGTCTACGTCGAATTATATTATTTTTTTTGATAAGAACAATTAAAAGAAGTGTTAATACGGATAAATGAACTTTCACAACACTGTTATGAACTTGAAACATTATTGGAATGTTGACATCACAGCTCCGACTGCTGTGAGCCTCATCTTCAATTAACAATTACTTCTGTTATCATTTAAGGTATGTTTCTTATCTTTATTCATTCATACAATATTTTTGTCGTAATAGTAATAAATTTTCAACCATCTGAACCACGAAATTCACTTATGTTTTCCGGAATGAGGCAAGTAGGCAGCTAGGGAGGTACTGGGAAGATATTGGAAGCATAATGTGTTGTCTAATGGTAGACCCTGCTGCCATATGTGACCAACTCCCAGGTTGATGATCTGACTTTCTGCCTCATTTACACACAACTGCAGGGTCTCAAGTGTTTCTCTTACTATTGACAAGACAACATACTGTACATATAGCGTTTCTCACTATTGATTATTATTATTTTTTCTTTATTATCATTATTACAGTGTTGTTATTTTTGTTATTTTATTTTACTTTTAATTATAAATTTTATTTACTATGAATTACTATTATTATTATTACATTTTCGCCCCCCAGGCCCCGATGTGGGTCATTGACCTGTGCCCAGGTGGGCCAATCCCCTTAAAAAAAAAAAAGCCAAGTGAGCTCACTCTATCTTGAGTTAGCAAGGAAAATATCACAGTTTTTGGTCCAGTAATATAGTTTAGTATAAACGTTAATATTCATTTTCAACAAGATATAAGCTAAGGTTTACCATCTACAAGGTCTGTGTGTGTCAGGCAGAAATATGACGACATAAGTAAGCATTAGATTTCATTTTCTTTATTCTTTAACTTAAGTATTTACTGTCACTAATAAAATAAAGAATAAGTACAGCTTACTATCAATACAAATAATTTGCTCTAAAATTCTGCAATACTCGGCTACATCACAGTTTTAATGATACACACAACACCACTCTTTGGTTAAAAAAATCTATTTACTTTTAATTTTTACAATTGATATTTTCTGGCCTTTCTTTTCCTATCATTTATGGTGTTGCTTGTAGACCTGTCTTCAATGATTGGCCTTTGCTCAGTATGGCGCTAAAGTGCCATGCGTTGGGTTTCAGTCAGAGCTGCAGAACGTTTTCTTATTACCTCCATGTTTGATAACACGAGCGCAAACATTGTTGCCAAGTACTCAGATGAAAAAATTATCTATTTTGTTTCGAACAGATAATAAAGTTCAATTTTATAAAAAAATATATTTTACAATATATTATTGTGCCGGTATAAAATAGCAACTAAATATCTCTCTAAATCGTCTTTCTAATTATGTGAAATAATACATTTGGCACACGCGCATGGCCAAAAAAAATTTTGCCATCCGACACGAGCTGCCGTGTATACACGCTCATGTAAGTGCCTAGGAATATGGCACTCAGCGTTGGGTGATTGCATCCCGACACACGATCATCGAGATGATGATCGTGATCGTCATTATCGTCGTAATGACTATTAATACGGCCCTAAATCCGATTGGGGTGACGTCACTAGTGGAGTACCCCAAAGCTCAGTACTTGGACCATTATTATTTGTTATATCCATAAACAACTTAGCTATAGGCGTAGACAGCAACAGCAGTACATTTGCCAATGACACTAAAACAGGGCGTGTAATTAAATCTGACGAGGACTCTGCAAAACTACAGGAAGATCTAAACTAATTTTTCGAATGGTCTGAAAAATGGCAGATGATACTTAATATGGACAAATGTAAAGTACTTATTCTAGGAGATGCAAACAGAGAAACTAAATATCAGGTGAACAACGTTGTTATAGAGAAATCCGACTGTGAGAAAGATTTATGAGTAATGATAAGTAGGAATCTTAAACCAAGTAAACAATGTGTATTTGCTCGAAACAAGACTAACAGAGTATTTGGGTTCATACAAAGGAGTGTTAGTTACAACACCAGCAAGGTTATCCTATCTTGCGCTTGTGAGACCTCACTTGGATTAAGCAGCTCAGTTCTGGTTACCTTACTACAGAATGGATATAGCATCCCTAGAAAGAATTCCGAGGAAAATGACAAAACTAATCCCTGGCATCAGGAACCTTGAGTATAGAGACAGGTTAAAGCTTCTTAATTTGCACTTCCTCGAGAGACGTAGAGCGAGGGGCGATATGATCGAGGAGTATGAATGGAAGTCAGGGCTAAATAATGATGATATAACAAAGGTACTCAAACTATCCAACCAGTAGCGAACTCGTAGCAATGGTTTTAAATTAGACAAATTTAGATTTAGGCGCGAAATAGGTAAACACTGGTTTGGAAACAGAGTAGTGGACGAGTGGAACAAGTTACCATACATCATCATTAACTCGAACACGCTGGATAGCTACAAACATAGACTGGATGGATATATGAGCGATAGGGGTTGGGTGTAAAGGGGACTGCCCAGTATGGGTCAATAGGCCCGCTGCAGTTCCTCCATTCGTATGTTCTTATGTTCTTATCTACAGTGCGAATCTTTGTGTTTCAGTAAACTTTAGTGGAGGCTTTTGTTCTAATTTATCATAGGTTTTCTTTATGTTTATATGTGAGGTTTGAAATTTGATTCTTCTTCATCTTTTTAACTTTAACAGGGAAGTGTTTGTTCAGGACTGTACTAAAGATGCTCTAAAATTATTGGAACTTATTTTTAGAAACATTAGAGGAAAATATTAAATACAGTACCAAGAAATATTGTCCATAATTATACTGTTTGAAGCTTTATGTATTATCAATACTAAAGTCTCTAAGTCATGATTGGGTCATCGTCCTTCTCAACTTTCTTATCAACAATAAAAAGATAAAACACAAAATAATGGTCAGAAATCCTACTGTGTTGTTTATCTAAATAACTGTCACAGTGTGTACAGTTAACCGTGTTGGTTAGGTTAGGTTAGGTTAAGTGACATTATGTACAGTCACCCTTGTTGGTCTAACGAGAGTATTCGACGAGCAGGTCAGCCTCAGTTGTATGTTTTACAAGATCAAGACTAAAACCTGTGGTGACTTACCATTGTTTTCCCTTACTAATGTACTGGCTAATGTGTTGTTAAAAAAGCCTTAACCTAGGTGAAGGATCTTCCATAAAACATTTGCTGAGTGTTGATAACAAATAGTCTCGATACATTTTTCTTAAAGATATAAATACAACTTATAATAATAGGCAAAGTTGTTCAGTTGTTTTGGACATGAGATGAATGATTTAGTGGAGTCAGACATTAATCAAAATATTCTTCTAAGTGAAGTACTTTAATGCAAATATTATGATGAATTAATGACAAGTTGTTACCGGTTAGGTGTGGTGCTGCTCTGACGTGTTGACAGGAGCGGTCCCTCCTGTTAGGTGTGGTGCTGCTCTGACGTGTTGACAGGAGCGGTCCCTCCGGTTAGGTGTGGTGCTGCTCTGACGTGTTGA